GAAGAATGAAAAGAAGAAGAAGAAAGAATGAAAAGAAGAATGAAAAGAAGAAGAATGAAAAGAAGAAGAAGAAGAATGAAAAGAAGAAGAAGAAGAATGAAAAGAAGAATGAAAAGAAGAAGAAGAAGAATGAAAAGAAGAAGAAGAAGAATGAAAAGAAGAATGAAAAGAAGAAGAAAAAAAATGAAAAGAAGAAGAAGAAGAATGAAAAGAAGAAGAAGAATGAAAAGAAGAATGAAAAGAAGAAGAAGAAGAATGAAAAGAAGAAGAATGAAAAGAAGAATGAAAAGAAGAAGAAGAAGAATGAAAAGAAGAAGAAGAAGAATGAAAAGAAGAAGAAAATGAATGAAAAGAAGAAGAAGAAGAAGAAGAAGTAGGATGAGGATGAAGAAGAAGAAGAAGAAGAAGTAGAAGAATGAAGAAGAAAAAGTAGGATGAGGATGAAGAAGAAGAAGAAGTAGGATGAGGATGAAGAAGAAGAAGAAGAAGAAGTAGGATGAGGATGAAGAAGAAGAAGAAGTAGGATGAGGATGAAGAAGAGAAGAATGAGGATGAAGAAGAAGAAGAAGAAGTAGGATGAGGATGAAGAAGAAGAAGAAGAAGAAGAAGTAGGATGAGGATGATGAAGAAGAAGAAGAAGAAGTAGGATGAGGATGAAGAAGAAGAAGAAGAAGAAGTAGGATGAGGATGAAGAAGAAGAAGAAGAAGAAGAAGAAGAAGGATGAGGATGAAGAAGAAGAAGAAGAAGAAGAAGAAGAAGTAGGATGAGGATGAAGAAGAAAAAGAAGTCTGATCATTAGAGGAGAGAAGGCTGGGTTCCCAACACAGCCAGAGAACTGACTACGGTGTGTTCTCCTGCCTAGTGTGAACAGTTTTTAATAGGAAAGCAGAATGAATGGCAGGAACACCAGAGATTTCACACAAAGGAAGCAATTAGAGATGAGCGAATTATTCAAAAATTCGATTCGGCTGATTTGCCGAATTTTCGGAATAAATTTGATTCGATGCAAATTTATTCGCTGCGAATTTAACTTATTAAAAGGGTTTCTAGGCTTCAGAGAGCCTTTATATTAGTGCAGAACACTGTACCTTTAATTTAAATGCCCTTGGAGTCTGCTGGGGAAGAGAAATAATACTGTCAGTCAGTATGACATGCAGATGAGTGCCGTCGATCTTAGAATCACCGCACACTTCACTCATTTGGGCAGTCACGGGGCACGACGAAGAAGATGAAGATGAAGAAAGAAGAAGAAGAAGAATGAAAAGAAGAATGAAAAGAAGAAAAAGAAGAATGAAAAGAAGAATGAAAAGAAGAAGAATGAAAAGAAGAAGAAGAATGAAAAGAAGAAGAAGAAGAAGTAGGATGAGGATGAAGAAGAAGAAGAAGAAGTAGGATGAGGATGAAGAAGAAGAAGAATGAGGATGAAGAAGAAGAAGTAGGATGAGGATGAAGAAGAAGAAGAAGAAGAAGAAGTAGGATGAGGATGAAGAAGAAGAAGAAGAAGTAGGATGAGGATGAAGAAGAAGAAGAAGAAGAAGTAGGATGAGGATGAAGAAGAAGAAGAAGAAGAAGAAGAAGAAGGATGAGGATGAAGAAGAAGAAGAAGAAGTAGGATGAGGATGAAGAAAGAAGAAGAAAAAGAAGTAGGATGAGGATGAAGAAGAAGAAGAAGAAGAAGTAGGATGAGGATGAAGAAGAAGAAGAAGAAGAAGAAGTAGGATGAGGATGAAGAAGAAGAAGAAGAAGAAGTAGGATGAGGATGAAGAAGAAGAAGAATGAGGATGAAGAAGAAGAAGAAGAAAAGAAGTAGGATGAGGATGAAGAAGCAGAAGAAGAAGAAGAAGAAGTAGGATGAGGATGAAGAAGAAGAAGAAGAAGTAGGATGAGGATGAAGAAGAAGAAGAAGAAGTAGGATGAGGATGAAGAAGAAGAAGAAGAAGAAGAAGGATGAGGATGAAGAAGAAGAAGAAGAAGTAGGATGAGGATGAAGAAGAAGAAAAGAAGAAGTAGGAAGTAGGATGAGGATGAAGAAGAATTCCATTCCAGCAAAAAGTGTCCCTGCAGAGAGCTCCGCTATTTCTGACAGTTCTCTGACAGTTCCTTCACATTTACAGCGGTTGAAACATTGTATCTATTTGTTTCCGAATAAAAACATCTGTATCCTAAATGGAAACAAATAGATACAATGTTTCAACTGCTGTAAATGTGAAGGAACTGTCAGAGAACTGTCAGAAATAGCGGAGCTCTCTGCAGGGACACTTTTTGCCGGCTGTAGAAGGGATGAAAATCGGCGGATCGGGGAAAATTCGATTCGTGCATCCGAAGTTTGCTAATATTCGGATTCGACGCGAATCGAATTTTTCCTAATATTCGAAACGAATTCCACTTTGCCAGGTTCGATTCGCTCATCTCTAGAAGCAATGCAAAGGGAACAGGATATTTTTTTATACAAATACATGGTATAGCAGGCACATATTAGAAATATGAAATGTTGGGTTAACACTTGAAGCACAGATTTAAAGTTGACACAACTCTCCTATAACACTCATGACTTCACAGAAAACAACTGGTTGTATGTTGCATGGGAGGGCACACTGGAGCGTATTTCTTAAAAGACAATGCACTACAAGAGGGAGAAATTGTTCTGAAGATAAAGGGTTTATTTACTAAAGGCAAATAGTCTGTGCACTGCAAGTGCAGTTGCTCTAAATTTGAGGGGAAGTTCTGCAATGAAAGGAAGGTCTGATGATTTCTACCATCCAACCATGTGCAAGCAAAATTGCTGTTTTTTATTTTCATTGTATGTGATTGTATAATTCTTTTCCAAGTGAAGCTTTACCTCATTTACTAAGCTCTGGATCAACTGCATTTGTAGTGTACTTACAAGTGCACTTCCAGTGCACAATATATTTGCCTGTAATGAATTAACCCCATTGGATATACTTCAACTATGGTTGTTCATTAGTATGAGGTCTTTTACACCAGAGAGAAGCAAGCTCTTCTCTAATCTGTTAAGCAGTATTCAGCAATATATTCAGTGCATACTTGTGGTCCTTATTTGCAGTTTGATTTGAACATCAAAATTATTATGCTGTTTTTTTACCTTATAAGTAGATAAGGTGAAATATGTAATCAGCATATCTAAACCTATGAAAAAATGCAATATATAGCAGTTTACCAGTCCTTAGATGCAGTGGTGTATTTTGGTTTTGTGCTGCCCTAGGCAACACAAAAATTGTCTGCCCCCATGGACACCGACCAGCACAACCCCTCTTCCCCCTCCCGTGAAAAAAGCCTGACTTTGTCCAACAACATCCTTACCCCACACCCTGGAGAGCCTTCCACTACCCCCCCCCCCCCGTGATAGAAAGACACTCATCTTCACAGATCCAGACATCCCAAACAAAAGCCAGGCTCTACATACACCATCAAGCAGCCTACAGCCTCTCTCGGATCCCACCTGGTTCTCATAGTGCGCGCTTTCCCTACTTTCATCCCTTCTTTTGGGGGGAGGTGCTGCCCCCTGAAAAATGCCGCCCTAGGCAAGTGCCTTGTTTGGCTTGTGGTAAATATGCCCCTGCTTAGATGTGGTGACTGTATTTGTTTTCTTCTGTTTCTGTCATTTTTTTCTTCAATTTTACCTGGTGATCTTGCAATAAATACTTCCTGCCCTGAGTTAATAGTGCTTGCTCATGGTACTGCGGAGGAACGGCGTTTTCATGCCATGGACACTCTTTAGTTACCAGGCTAAATACTTGTTGCAGGTCAGGGAGATTCACTGTATTAAGTTTCACATCAACTATCTTTACTCAGTAGTAAAATAGGACATATATTAATTTACTGCATTCCCCTCTATATTATTGCATTTTAATTCTTTTACTCCCACGCCTTATACATTACGTTTGGCTGTGGCAAGGGGTATTAAACATTATTGGACACTGCAGCATCCCCAAGTTCCTTCCTGTTAATGACCCAGAAGCAACTTGTAAAACATTACTCCTGGGTCTTGGTGTTGCTCAAGAAGCTAAGTCTAATTTCACAGTGATCCACAGCAAAAACACATTTTTTCCATGTTTTTGCTGCATTTGCAGTCCGTTTTTTAAAGGATGTGTGAATCATAAACTGTACCAAAAATGCAATGCAGGTGTGTTTTTGATGCATTTTTGATGCACTTTCCATTGATTTCAATAGGGAGGTGCATTTTGGTGCATTTTTTTTACTGCACTAAACCTGCACCAAAAATGCAGCAAACAGGATTTTAAAAAAATGCACTGGACTTGCAACAGATCAGTGTGAAAAGTTCCATAGGAATACATAGTCACATGTTTTTCTTCCACTTTTTTTAACACAATAGCAGAAGAAAAACAGATCAGTGTGAAATCAGTCCAACAGAGTACAGTCTTTGCTCCATTAGCTTCATTGGAGGGAAGGTGAGACATCAGGGGTCTTTTATAACTATGTTGTCTCATTACAGAGAGCCTGTCACCAAAAAAATCACATAGGGGACATTTTGTCCCGATTGTGATGAAAAATTAAGTTTAGTGAAAAAAAAAATTAAAAAGTGTAAAAAAATTAAAGGTACACCCAAGCACTTAATCCTCCCCCCAAATATTTTTGACCTCCCCCTAACCTCACATACACTATATTGCCAAAAGTATTGGGATGCTTGCCTTTACACGCACATGAACATTAATGGCATCCCAGTCTTAGTCCGTAGGGTTCAATATTGAGTTGGCCCACCCTTTGCAGCTATAACAGCCTCAACTCTTTTGGGAAGGCTGTCCACAAGGTTTAGGAGTGTCTCTATGGGAATGCTTGACCAGTTTTTCAGAAGCGCATTTGTGAGGTCAGGCACTGATATCGAACTAGAAGGCCTGGCTCACAGTCTCTGCTCTAATTCATCCCAAAGGTGTTCTACCGGGTTGAGGTCAGGACTCTGTGAAGGCCAGTCAAGTTCCTCCACCCTAAATTTGCTCCTCCATGTCGACCTTGCTTTGTGCACTAGTGCGCAGTCATGTTAAAACAGGAAGAAGCCATCCCCAAACTATTCCCACAAAGTTGGGAACATGAATTTGTCCAAAATTTATACTGACACCTGAAGCATTATCTTCACTGGAACTAAGGGGCCAAGCCCAACCCCAAACCATAATCCCCCCTCCACCAAACTTGGAACAATGCAGTCAGGCAAGTACAGTTCTCCTAGAAACTGCCAAACCCAGACACGTCCATCAGATTGCCAGACAAAAAAGAGTGATTTATCACTGCAGAGAACATGTCTCCACTGCTCTAGAGTCCAGTGGCGGTGTGCTTTACACCACTGCATCCGACACTTTGCATTGCACTTGGTGATGTAAGGTTTGGATGCAGCTTCTCCACCATGGAAACCCATTCCACGCAGCTCTCTACACACTGTTGCTGTGCTAATCTGAAGGTCACACAAAGTTTGGAGGTCTTTAGCTATTGACTCTGCAGACAGTTGGCAACTTCTGCACACTGTGTGCTTCAGCATGCGCTGACCTGTCACTTTGTGGCTGAGTTACTGTTGTTCCCATTTGCTTCCACTTTGTTATAATACCACTAACAGTTGACCATGGAATGTTTAGTAGCAAGGAAATTTCACAGATGGACTTATTGCACAGGTGGCAACCTATCACATTACCATACTTGAATTCACTGAGCTCCTGAGAGCGACCCATTCTTTTACAAATGTTTGTAGTAGAAGAAGTTTGCATGCCTGGAGTGCTTGATTTTATACACCTGTGGCCATGGAGGTAATTGGAACACCTGATACCAATGATTTGGAAATATAGTGCATATGCAAGTATGAGCATAAGCACACATTTTGGGGACACCTATGCATGAAAATATCGATTGTGATACATATGTTACATATCTTTCTGCATGCTGAAGTGAGAGCAATAATTCCCATTATTAATGGTTAACTCTGAAATGATGTCATATAACAGTTCCTAAAGCATTTCCTATGAAAAAATAAAGGGTACCACATATGGTGGTAATTTTATTGCAACATGCAATTTTAAGCCTTGACATGCTATGTACTCAGCACAACTTCATATTTTATATTTTATTTATTTGTTTACTGAAATTTTGCATTTCCTAAACTATTTCACTAATATCATTTGACACTAAAAATTTTTAAATTCCACTATTTTATTCTCTAGGTTGTCTGCTTTCAGAAAAAATATAATAGTTGGGCTTTTAACTAATTGTAGTTTTTTTTAACGTGTGGAAAAAAAAAATGCAAAACTGAATTTGGCAATGAAAGGGTTCAAATGCAAAATCCAGGTACATAATGTCACAGTAAAGGGATTCCTTTATGATAAATGAAAGAAAAAACATGAGACAATTAAGAGTTGTTGCCAACAATCACCTCTCAAGTTTCTTCTTTTATTTTATGAAAGAAGAAAAAAAACAAGAATTTATTTGGTTATTCCAACAACTCCAAGTTTTTATTTATTTATTTTTTTTATTATTATTTAGAAGAAGAAGCTATAACAATGCTATAAGAAAACTCATAATAGCTTTTTGGCTAATTACAATATATTTTGCTACTCCTGGTGACAGAGGGTGTTGGGATTTCTTATTCTTTTGCACTGACTGCATGCTTGCTTGTTTACACTATCTAATTAAGAAGGCCCCAAGGGTGAGAGGGTCATGGAATACACTGCTGTCTGCCATCTTGATTACGGTCTCTGGAGTGGCCCGCGACATGTGCGTCACCTATCAGTAATAGGACACACTTGCCACCTACTACTGCAGTACCGCCACGCTGGCATCCCATTTTTTACCTATAAAATTAAAACGTCCTGGTTTGATTTGAATGTCTTTACTATGCCTGTACTTTACTATGTTCTCTATTTTTATTCATGCTAAGGGGCATGTTTAATAGTGCAGGCAAGTTTAGGTACATTAATTCCATCAAGAGTCACCTGTAGACTGAGGGGTGTATCTACTTTACAGCTATGACAAACATCATGATTTGACCAGCAAGTGTCTTTTGAATGTGCATTGAACTTTTTTTTTTTAATATGCCACTAAAATACATTACAGCCATCATTAGGACTTCTGCATATATGCAAATAGATGTCTTTATTCACAATTGACATCCACCCTATTCAATTTTTGATTGGTGATAGATTTGGTTTAAAGATTGACTCCCAACAATTTTCCACTGATAAGCTATATAATAAAGTAAACTGTTGATAAAACCATCTGTTATGCCTATTTTATCTATGTGGATTGTTTATTAGAATTTGATGCAGATGACAAAGATACATTTAATAGTAAACTCACAGAATATAGTAAAAATAAATGAATGGAATTCATTTTACTTAACATAGTAACACATTTAATCAAGGTCATTTCAGTTTCTTGTAACTTATTTTTGCCATTGACGACCTTACAAAGCAATCATTTTGAGTAAAATTTCAAGAGTTTTATGTACTCTGTAATTTTATATTTCTTGAAGATGCATTTGCTGTACTCAGTGGGGACATGATTGCAGAAAACATTTAGGAAAATGCAACAAGAATGTCAAACTGTTCGCTAAAGGTAGTTCAACAAGGTTATCTCCTGTACTCATGGAGCGCTCTATAGCTTTTTTAGTTCACTGAAATTGTATTGTGGGTATTTTAAATGTATTTGTAAAACTGTAATTGTCTATAGGCTTAGTCTGACAATTGCATCCCACTCTGTTCATTAGGAGCCCTGACAGCAGTAACCAAATTACTGAACAGTCTGAGGGAAGAGACCTAGGGTATCTGTGGAATGCTATTGTGAGTAGGGAATATTGTAGTTTTACATACATGGACCTTTATGTAGGATGAGGTCACACAATGGGGTGTATTCAGAACAACAATGGAAAACGAAAATGTAAATCCTTATGTGAATTCATAATGATCATAAACCTGACCTCCATGCTGCTTTTTGTTTCTGTATTATGAGAAGCTTGTGGGTGTCTTTCATAACCTGATGTTTCAAAGGACAAAGATTCAATATCCAAAGTGACACGTGTACCTGAAGATGGATGTGCACAGCATATCTCTGTGCACTCAAATGATTAACTGCTATCTTGGGAAATAAGATATATATCAATGAAGTAAATGGTTTTACAGAGGAACAAGGTTTTTCAAAGCAATATGAATTTAATACAAAAAGGGAATCTGAAAGCATAAAAATCCAATTTCTTCTGCTTTAAAACATATTGATTGCATTTGTTGAACTACTGAACTTGGATGTCTATATATATATATATATATATATATATATATATATATATATATATATATATATATATACTGTATGTGAAAATTCATCATCAGGACTAATGAATGTTTAATAATTGTTTCTGGAATACATGTTAATGTTTATTTAAGAGATAACTCTTTGGGGGGAAAATGCAAATAATAATAATAATAATTTAAAAACAATATATGTATAAATATATATATAATATAGCATATATAGTTGCTACAACAGCCATATTGTAAGTGAATATTATTAAAATTATATTTTTAATCAATATGTAGTGCTGTAATTTTCTGTAAAATTCAATGCAATATGGCAATTTGGAGGAATTTCATATACCCCCAAATATATAATTTCCTGCTTGTGTGATTTTCCTAGAAGTCGGAACTAAGATACAAGTCAATTTTTAGGCATCCTCTACAACAAAAATGTCATTTTATATGAGATACTCACAAAGGGATGCAGGCTTTGCATTTTCTTCATTAGTACATTGTAGGTGCATCAGCTAATTAATAAATTGTCACTCCCATTCAGATTCCCACGGCACAAAGTCCTGTTATCCCTAAAATATAATAATCTGAGATAACAAGTTATATAAATAAAAGCAGCATGGACCTATAGTACTGTGTAATGCAATACAGCCATATTTGGCACACTATGCATTAGCTCCCATTATTAGTACGGTAATAGCTTTATATTAAATTCATGTAATGAATTTGTAATGAAGAAATAACTGGACATAAGGGCAACTTTTAACATTTTCTGGAAGACCATTTTTTTGTTTTTTACTTCTACACGTTGCTGTGCAATTTTAAGTTTCTATACTTTTCTAGGGAAATTTCCAATTTGTGACCTTGAGCCCACACTATGCACAATAAAATATTTACATACTGTGGTCAAGCAGTAAATGCACTTTAAAAAAAGCCCTCTGTAGTAGTGATGAGCAAACTGGCCCAGATACAGTTCACAGGAGGATTCATGAACCCAGCCTTTTCAAGGTCATTTTTTAAGCTTTTTACCTTACAAAATGGCATGGGAACTAGGCAGTGTCATGGGTACATGTACCAATGCAAAACAACAATTTAAAAAAATACATTCAGTGGTGGAAATACCACCAAGTACAACATAAATGAATGAAAGACATCTGACTACAGAAGCTGAAGGTTTAGGCGGGCTAACTGACCAAATCTGGCCATTTAGTTTGCCTATTCAAAAAACTACAATCAGCTCAGGTTGAGGTCAAACTCATGGTAAACCTGAGCCTGAAGATCATTCCTACTCTGTAGCTATTGGCATTATGGAGAAATCCACCTTCAAAGCTCACAACAGAGGAACTAAAATGACAACTTCTTTCCTATTACTTTCTATTGCAGCAGACATTTGACTATTCCTCTAACGCAAACACACAGCAGGAGTTTCTAGGCTGCTACAAGCAACTGAAATTTGACTTTAGTATCTTTCTAATGATCTGTGAGAATTAAACGCTTTACAGATCAAGTAGCTGGATAGGTCAGGGATGGCTTATTTCAAAGTTTTTCTGTTTGTTTTTTTACTTTAAGTTTTTTTTTGTCTCATATTGTTGAATAATTTAACTTTTTTTGTATGTACAGGTATATATAAACCACTATATAAAAACTATAATGGTTTTGGGTCAAGTTTATTTTAATTGTTTAGTGTTTATACATTTTTTAACTAATGTATTCAAATCTGCATTTTACTATATCTAAAATCTGTGTTTTACATATAATATATTAGATGGCACAGATTTCCAGAGTGCTAAGAATGCTTCCAGAGTGCAGCAGAAGTTGTTTCTTTTCAAGAATGGTGTGTTCTAAGGACAATTTGGGCAGTATTATATTAAGAAAGTGAGAGAATGGAGTAATTTTATTTACATATTCACTTGTGTATAAATTTCAGCTGAGAAAACATTAAAATTGTTGCTTTCTAGCTGGATGCAACATAATTTTAAGTAAATATTCTATACTAACTTGACACTTAAATTATATTATATTATTTTAGTTCTGACCATAATGATTAAAGAAGTACAATATATACACAACCACCATTCCATCCTTTACATTTTAAAATATTTCAAAGCAATAAATGACACCAGAAAGGACACTGTAAAGTGACTATGATTAATAAAAACTTTTTTCTTTAAATTTATTTTATGTCTTCAATTTAGCATTCTGACTGCACGCAAGCAGAAATGATGTCAACCCCTAGTAATGCTTGGTAATGCTTAGGCTCTTTTCTCCTCTGGTAACCTAACATATCATTTCAGGCACAGCATTCTTTTTTAATTAATGTTTTGTTCTGCTGTCAAGTAGACATCATCTACAAAACTTTTATGTAATTAATTGAAATGTGTTTCCTAAGCCCCAGAAAAATCTATTGACAAGCTATACAATTACTGAATCAGCCATGGAAGTGACGGCTGTATTGTTTTGAACACAATGAAAAT